CAAAATGTGAGGAGTCTCAAAATGATTGAGTTACCTAAGAGATCTGTGTTGCTTTCTTTTTCCAAGAAAACAATGAAGCATAGGAGCAATTTATAGTGTCAGCTTTATGTAATAGATGCTTTTCTCTGGCTTCCTTATTCAAGTCTTTGTATTGTTAAGGCATTTATTTTAGCTTTTTTTGTTTTGAGAGGTACTTTCCCCTTAATGGAATATAAGGTGGGAGTTCATAAAACCTTGCAAGTCAATCTTTTGTATATGAGTTGCAGATTTGGTATCTGCAAGGAGGCAGCTCATCCTTCTAGGAGAAGTTATCTGCCCAATCTTTTGCAATTCAAAGAAGGAAAAGGAGAGAAAACAAAGAATAATTCCTTGCCTTTGTCTCTAGTGTGATCTGCATTAAGGAACAGGGGTTTCAACCATTACCACTGCCACCACCACTACCACTGGTATCACCAAAATAAATCCTCTTGTGGATTGAAGGATTTTCATTTGCAAGTCTGAGAATCAATTGGCTGGGCTAAGTAGGATGACCAAATTGCAGCATTCTAAATACTGGTGTGTGCCATCCCAACTACAGATCAAGAATTAAGATTTTCTTATGTATTGTCAGTTCAAACTACTGTATATTATAAATGGATGGGCATTTGTGATGATATTTTTGTTTCATTTGGTTCTCTTTATCTACTTTTATTGTGCAGAACAGATCATGTTTTAGGTCGTATTAATGCAAAAAATATTGAAAATTCAAAAGAGTTCACAAACTTTTAAACACCATTGTGCTTCTATTAGGACAGTTCCCAAGTGAGGCAGTCACAGAGAATGTGCCATATCTTGCATAACCCAAAGGAATCTTAGATTTTTCCAGAATGACTTTAATGTATTCATTAAAGTGAGTCCCAACTCTGCTGATTTATTGGCATCATGAAAAGCACAGCTGGTTTGTTGATTTTGTGTTGTTTTTCATTCCAAAGGGAAGGTGCTGTTTCATTTGCCAAACTAATACGGTAGGTGTTATGAAATGGTGAGAAAGAGAACTATTCACTGAGTTTGTCTTGTAGAACAAAATGCTTTGGCCTGCTTTACCAGCTCATGAGCATGTTACACTGAAGCAAGTTCCACCCAATTGTATTGGACTCACTTCAAAGGAATGCATTTAGCACCTGGATAACAAGCAGTGCAGGATTAATTGATAAGGGGATGAAAGAGTTGCATGGAATTACAATAGAAAGACAAAGGTTGGTGTTGCATCTTGTAATTAAATAATACATTGTCTTGATTGCCTACATTTTAAGCATCACTATACTTATAACTGATGGCATGCTTTTTCTTTTTGAGCAAGGAAAAGTTTTTTTTCCATCTGCTAATTTAAGGAACAAAATCTCAAATCAGCAGCTATCATAATAGATTGGATTATCTTAATATGCCCAACCAATTCCTCCCCAAAATACAATAGTAGTTTAGGGTAATGTGTGAACATAGTATCTGTCCAGGCTCTGAAGTTTCCCCGTCTTGTAATTGGGGAAACCTTTTCATATAGTTTCACATAATCTATTGTGTGGATTGAACTCTATGCTGTAACCTTTTTCTGCTAAGGGCTGCATTTTTTCGAAGATAAGTCCATCAGAGATAGTAGGTGAAGAGGACAAGGTTTACAATATTGTAGGGTTGTATAACTCTTCTCCTTCTGCAATTTGATCTCTGTCTGACCCTTCCTTTCTTCCGTTGGTTGTTATCTCTCATCTAGCAATGATGAAATGAGAACCACATACTAAGCCAAGAAGTGAATTCAGTTATCAGATTCCAGATAATAAAATCCTAGTATATAGGTTTTCCCCCCATCCTCACTCATCACCATATACATTTATTTACTGAAGAAGTCAAAACTGCATTTAAAGTTGTAAAGGTCAACTCAGTTGTAAAATTGGATGAAATAGAGAAACAGCAAATAATTATAAGTAAAAATTTGCAAGTTCTTCAATGCATATTAATTACAGGGGAAGGCTTAAAAATACAACTGTAAAGATAGTATATCTGGGGACAAACAGTTGCAGACCTCCAACACAATCATGTCTAAATAGATTTTATTATACTCTGATCAAGAAACAGTAATGGGATTTTAAATTTTCAAAATACCTCATACAAGTACTTGAATGGAATACATCTGGTTGCCAATTCGGCACATTCCGCTTAATGTCATCCGTCCCACTCAATTAGGAAAGAAAGATCCCTGGACGATTATTTTGACCAAGAATATACTTTACCAAAGCAAAAGTGATTACAGAAGTAGCAAAGCGGAATCTGCCAAATTGGTATGCAAACAATACAGTTCATTTTCTTTTTTTCCTAGGATTTCCCCCTGTTATCAGTCTTTGACCAATTAAACAGTTGTTGTTTGGGTAACGAACCCTCTGTGCATGCCTGCTTCGTCTCCATATTCTTTTAGATGAGCTTGGGCTGGTTTGGCACATCTCCCTCGTTGGGCCGGCACTGCTTGGTTCCCAGAACCCCCCCCCCCCTTCGCCCTTCTGCATTCTCCTCCCACCAACACCCTTGCAAAAATGTCAGGCGGCAGGATGCGAAGTGAAGCTAGCAGGATGGCGGCCATGATAATATCATTATTATACACTACCTTATAACTTTAATAAACAAAAAATATATTTTTCATAAATTGTGAACATTCCTTCTATATTAAATGTACAAGCAAATAAAAGATAACAAAAATTAGTTTGAGTATAGACCAGCAGAGGGCTATCACAACCAAACTTTCAACCATTCAATAGCTGCAGTATTCAAAATTAGAAGATCTCATATAGAATTTCTGATTATAATGTCACAAAAATTAAGGTTCAGCTTTAATTTTAAGACCTGCCACAACTGCAAACGCCTTTTCTTTATTACTTTTCTCTGCTCCTGGTCAAGTTCCTGTATAAAAGAGTATACGACAAGCTCTAAGATGTTTCTGTTGTGATAACTGTTACGGTTTTCTAATTGGGAAAACAGCTAAATTGTCAAGTAGATCAGGGATCCCCAACACCTGGCTGCGGAAGCAGTAATGAGAGGCCGCACAGCTGCACTTGCGCATGAAGCAGGTGGGCAAGTGCGCACGCAGCTTCATTTGTGCAAGCAGTGGGTGCACATGCCTGCCGCTTGTGCGAATGGAGCTATGAGCGCACACTCGCCCACTGCTCAGGTGGAATCATTCTCCCTCCCACCTACACTGCCGGTCCAGAAAGCCGGAAAGGTTGGAGACTGCCAAATTGGGTAAAGCATTCTAGAAAAAAAAAATCTGCAGCCATATGATCATAAATTGCCGTTCTCTGTATTTTCTAAAATACTACTGCAATAGCTTTTTTTAAAAAAAGTATAGCAATCAGTATAACAACAAAACTCACAAAAGAATATATAATTGATTGTGGTAGTCAACTCTTAGCGACCACATAGATAGATTTTTTCCCAGAATAATCTCTCCCCAACCTGGTCCCTCAGATCTTCCAACAGTGTATTCACTGCTGCTGCCGTTGAGTGCATTCACCTTGCTGATGGTTATATCTTTTTACCTTTTTCTTTCTACTTTTTCCAGCATTATGAGAATCCAGATTGTTGGGGGCAATATGCTGACTCTGTAAACTGCTTAGAGAGGGCTATAAAGAACTGTGAAGTGGTATATAAGTCCTAAATGCTATTGCTGTTATGGACTTCCCAAAAAAGCTGAGATTTCATATAATGTGCCCAAAATTTGAGCCTGGTCATTTGGGCTTCAAATGAAAACTTTACATTTATTTATTCTGCAATCTTATCTATTTTCCTAGCTGTCCATGCTATGCACAGGAGTCTTCTCCAACACGTTGAAAGCATGAAATGTTCTTTCGATCCTGCTTCTCAAAGTCCAACTTTGATTTCTGTAGAATATCACAGGGAAAACCATTACCTGCGTAATTCTGAAATTCTGAAACTAGATGACCCGAGGGCTTTAATGTAGCCATGTCATAAACACCATTAATATTCCAAAAGATACTCAGCATTTCTTTAGTCTGATGTTGAGTGCCATCTGATTTGAGAAACGTATCATGTGGCACTAATATCACCTGTCATTTCATATTGCCTATCTGTGTGGTGTGGTTTTTGTTGTTGTTGTTAAATACAAGAGTGATTTTCCATTACTTTCTCCTGTGCAGTATAAATTGTTGCCTTTGCCGTTGTCACTAAAGTGATCAGCCAGTTCTAAGATCTTCCTATATTGTTGCTGCCTAATATTAGTACCTGTTTCCTTTAGTTAGGCAGCTGGGAAGGTCTTTATCCCTTGAATGATCCTGTAGGGATTATATGTTTGGCTCCTGGTGTTTTTCATTCACTCCTCCTGTTAACATAACCATCATCACCACAGTGAGATAGCATTGAGGGGGAAAGGAAATGCACACGCCATACATTGTGAATATAAAAATATATCAGTAAATTTGATTAAATGCACAGATTCAGACATCCATATTCAATATTTATATCCAAAAAGTCATTTCTACAAATGATGGGGATGGGGGGTTATTTCTTGAGGATTTATATTTAATTATTCCATATTCTTCAAGAACAGTTTGTTGTTAATTTTTCAACCAATGGTATTTCCTGTACTTTTATATATCATGAATCTGCAGTAGTATGTAAACTCCAAAGTTTTGCTAAAATAAATCTGCTCACTAACAACAAACAATTTTTATCTCACTTGCCGCTTTCCAACTTTCTTTCTTTTTTACTTGGGCAGTTTTTTCTAAGCTTCTCCATTTCCATTAGCACATTTTCCATATAGCTGCTCAGAAGGAAGTACAGTGTCTTAAGGTATGATGCAAATCTCTCTGCTATTATGTAGTTGAATAATTACCTTGCCAATTGCAAGTCACATTAAAGATACGTGGAGACAAGGAACAGGATTTAGGGAAATTTGAGAAATTAGGAGTTTGTTTTCAGTGAGGAGCCCTACAGAGAGTAGATAATCAGAGTCGGGGGAGAGACGGGGGGGGGAGGGAGGAGGAGGAGAAGGAAAATACATGCAACTGGGTCTTAAAATTCAGGCCCAAAGCCTAGGAAACTGGAAGAATGTAGTAGGAAGGGCAAGTTGCAGGAAACATGACTTGTGCGAGGTTGCAGTTTAATCTGTTTAATGTTGCAGTTTCAACTGCAGGCAGTTTGGTTTCTGTTCCAGTTCTGTCGATCTCCATATCCTTGTTTATTTGCTCAGACCAATTACAGATGACCGAATGCTGGATTTGGAATGCAGCCTTCAGCCTCATACAGTTTGTGCCGTTACTTATTCTCTCAAATCCCTTCTGCATAACTTCTGTTCAAATAAAAATCCGTCTTTTTCTTAATCCCTCTGCTGTTGGATTCTAAGCTAACACAATATGCTCTGAAAGAGTGAAAATTGGGTTCGTTTTTTAAAAACCTGCTTCCTGGGAATGTTGCTCTACCCGTTCAAGAATAAGTAATGGCAGGTTACCTGAGGGCATACACAAACACACACACACACATCCCAAAATCTGCCAAAGAGGGTGAAGGATGCTGATTGTCTGGAGTTGTCTTGCAAGCTGGGGTGAATATCAGTGATAGACACCCTTTATTTTGTTTGTTCCTCCTGCTACATCCCAATTAATGTATAATTGTTGTGAG